CTATCCTTATTTACCCACTAATTGGACTGGTTCATGTGCCCCCGCATTGCTTTTGCCAGACATAGACATAATTCCAGGAGATGAGCCTGTGCCTTTGCCTAGCTTTGACACGTTCGTTCCTAGGCACAAACGAGCGGTCCAATTTATTCCATTGCTTATTGGACTGGGTATCTCAGGAGCACTTGCTACTGGCTCAGCTGGTGTAGGAGTGGTAATAGACACTTACAACAAATTATCTCAGCAGTTAATTGATGATGTTAATATGGTCTATCGGTCTGTACAAGATCTTCAGGACCAGGTAGACTCACTGGCCGAGGTTGTCTTACAAAATAGACGGGGACTTGATTTACTAACAGCAGACAAGGGAGGTATCTGTTTAGCTTTACAGGAAAGATGCTGTTTTTATACCAACAAGTCCGGGATCATCAGAGATCGGATTAAAAAAACACCAAGAGGAACTAGAAAAAAGAGACAGTTCTTAGCTGCCATGTGGGTGCTGGGATTCCAGTGGGTACTGGGATGCAAACCCCAGTCTTCTGCAAGAACAGCCAGTGCTCTTAACCACTGAACCATCTCTCCAGCCCCTGAATAATATGTTTTTTAAAAGGATCTTATCCAGCTGAGAGCATCCTACAATGTCTTCTTTCACTCCCTGGGGCAGGTGTCACTGAAATCACTCCTCTTTTATGAACACCATTGAAATGAAGTGGGTGCTGTTGAAAAATATATATAAAAGTCAGGAGCCATGAAGTCTCTCAGGCAGGTCACGTACCGGTCAGGAATTCCAACTCACTGAAAAGTAAGTTTTATGGCTGAGACATCTGGCCTACTGATAAGTAAGTTTTATGGCTGAGACATCTGGCTTACTGATAAGTAAGTTTTATGGCTGAGACATCTGGCTTACTGATAAGTAAGTTTCATGGCCGAGACATCTCCAACCACTGATAAGTAAGTTTTATGGTTGAGACATCTGGCTTACTGATAAGTAAGCTTCCCGCTCTCCCCGTAGCATTTTGTAATAGTTTAAATTAACCAATAACTGCGTTTCTGCTTCTGTATCCCGCTTCTGCTCTATAAAAGTTCCACAAACCCGACCTGAGGCGCGCAAGTCCCCCGAGGAGACTTTGTGCCCACAGGTACCTGTGTACTAAATAAACCTCTTGCTGTTGCAACCCGAAGGCTGGCTTGTCCTCTGTGGTTTTTTCCCTCCTACACAGCCATATATATATATTTTTTTTTTTAAATGTGTATGAGTGTATTGCCTGCATGTATGTGAGTGCACCATGTGCAGTGCTGCAGAGGTTAGAAGAGGGCTTCAGATTCCCCTGGAACTGGAGTCACAAAGGTTCTTAGCTGCCATGTGGGTGCTGGGAATCAAACACAGGTCCTCTGCAAGAGCAATCAGTGCTCTTAACTGCTGAGCCATCGCTCCAGCCTCAGTAACAGCTATTTTAAGTCCACTGTTCAAAGTATACTTTTGTGTGAGTGTAGAAACTTTTGGATGCCTTCAGAACCCATTAATTTCTGAATTATCTTCATGAAATTATCTTTGCTGGAAGTGTACAATGTTAGGTTCTGGAAAAGAGCAGTACCACTAGAGACCATGCTGAGTTGAGAAAAGGAAAAATTTATGGGGATATAGGAGCTACTGGGTTAGCCCCACAGGAGACAGATAAAGCCAGAAATTTCTTGGCACAGAAAGCTGGGTTTTATAGGATTTATTTCTTGTGTGGGTAAGAGGAGGTACAGCTGTAGCAGAAGGGGGTGGGAGGGTGAGTCAGCAGCAGGGGACCTGATACCTTCTGGTCTCTGTGGGCATTGCACATTTACATACATGGAGGCGTAGCATTCATCCACATAAAAAAATAGAAGCAAATGAATTTAAAAGAAGTTATACTAAAGGAAGAAGCCTTTGACTTACCACTCGAGTGAATGAGAGCATACAGTTCATTGTCTAAAATAAAGAAATCTATTCACAGAGGGTTGCATTTAATGTAGATATCTTCAACATTCAGAGATGGGTAGTGGATGACAACAAGGAAACAAAATTTTGCAGACAGCTGGTCACTTACACATGTGAACTCACAGCATTGATGACAGCATGCACAAGTCCCACGCAAGCTTAAACCAGACAAAAATCCCAGCATAGATATAAGGAAGGAGATAAGAAGTTCCAACCTAACCTAAAGAACTTTTGCCAACCAACGGGTGCTCAGAGAGGGAGACACACTCTTTTACAGGGAACTCTGGTAGGTTGGCTAGTCTCCAGTGGATGGACCCATGATGGGGGACATGTGGAGACATAAATCAGATCAACAGGCTGTATTATATATATAGTGAAGTACATTGAATTGAATGGGGGCAAAAGCAGGTATCTAAATATAATCGAATTATATTGTATGAAAATTACAAAAATTCAACACTTAAAAAATAAGTAAAGTAGAATAAAGATTTTATATTAGGGGCTAGAGAGATAGAAGTGGTTAAGAGCACAGGCTGCTCTTCAAGAGCACATTGGTTCAGTTTTCAGCACCTACATGGCACATAACTGCCCTTAATTCATGTTCTAAGGGTTATGATGCCCTCTTCTGGCTTCTGAGGACAAGGCATGGCATGGGTGCACTTGTATACATGCAGACAAAACACTTATACACATGAACTAAAAATAAATAAAAATTAAAAAATTCTGTATTGTATTATTTTTTGAATATTTTCAAATACTTTTTTAAATGAATATATTTATTCTTTGAGAGTATCATACAATACATTTTGAAAAGCTTTATTCCAAATCCTCTACTTAACTCACCCAATGTCCATCCCCCCACTTCCCTATACAATTTCTTTGCCTTTCTTTTTGGAGCATGGATATGATATAGATGCCCAATTGTGGCTGAGCACTCCACAGACATTTATTCTTTGCATTTTGACCAATTATGCCAAACCATAATTAACACCCACAAGGAATCTTCTCTGATAAGTTCTGTGACCTATTACTAAAGGGAAAGATAAAAAATTCAGAGGGTAATTTTACAGTATGTCCACTTAGCAGAATAATAGTAGTAGGTTTACCCCTGGGGCCTATGAGCCATACTTTCAGTGTCATACATGCTGCTTCTAATCATAAAGCTGATTGTTACCTCATGACATGCCACTACTACTGCACCCATTGGCATTTCTTACCACTCTGGTGATTACTGAAGCTTACAGGGTTCACAGCTGGGTAAAACTATGGATGACATTTCCTCCCAGCAATCTGCATTGCACCTTACAAGGCTATGAGGGCTGACCAGCAGGGAGGAATCTTCCTGTCAGTAACAGCTTAATTTATCCATGTTCTGTGACCAATGTGTTTGGTGTTTTCAGCAACAAGTTTGTTTGGTAACCAAGAGTAATGCATTGTTTGGGGGGGGGTCTCCAGAAATTCTCTGACAAACAACTCAGGGAGGGGTATCTCACGCCAGAAGCTGGGCCTTTTACTTGGCAACTGATGACTTCTGGGACTGAGAATAATTCCTTTGTAGGGTGACTCCCATTAAATTATTTTTATGAAGATATATATATATATATTCCATTCAAGTGTACAATTGTTTCAACTCTAGTCACCTCCATTATCCTCTGATGTACATCTTCCACCTCCTGTCATACATATATATGAAGTTTGTAAAATACATATCCATATGGCTTTTTCAAGTACCCTTAAAGTTAGCTTCCTCTGTCTGCCACAACCTCTGCCCCATCCTTCCATCCCTCTTCACTTAAGCCTCCCTCTCCATTCACCTTTTCCCTTCATATCACCTATGTTCTTCTATCTCCACTTGCTTAATATCTTTCGCATCCCTCACCATCAGTGATCCATTTCTAGTTTGCTGATGTCTACCAATACTCCAACCTAAACACACAAATATGAAGATTTGATGCTCAGATACATGCTAGTTTTTAAGATTCTTATTCAATATATTAGGTATAAAAGTGCTGGATAGCATAAGGATATTCTCATTCCAGTGTATTCACCTCCATTTGTTCTCTTCTGTCCATCTTCCCCCTTCTGACAATTCACTTTGCTCAAACTGTCCTATTTTAATGTCACATATAAAATTGTTATCTATTATGCAATCCAAAAGCAGTGTGACAATATGAATAAATTATCAAGCCTATTCAAGACTATTTTCTAAAGGGAACAATATAATCCACTTGAATATTAATTACTGTAGCAGCCTAAGAATAATAGGATAATTACCAAAAGAGAATGATAATCAAAATATAAACCTTTACATTAAAATCATTTCTTGTCTCAGTAAAAGAACAAGAATCATGACATTTTTCAGTACTGAAATAACTCACTCATAACTGCACTGATTTTTTTACTCCAAAGTCTCCGCATAGCGTTTTTCATTTCTGCATTCCTCAGAGTATAGATTAGGGGGTTCAACATGGGAGTTATAAGAGTTAAAACCACAGTCACACACTTATCAATGGGAAATGTAGAAGTAGGCCTTGCATATAGGAAGATACAGGGAACAAAGAACAAAATAACCACAGTAATGTGGGACGCACAGGTGTACAAAGCCTTGCGTTTCCCTTCCAAACTATGAGCCTTAAGGGAGTGTAAAATGATCCCATAGGAAACCATGAGAATTAAGAAGGTGACAGTGCAAATTGATCCTCCATTAGCTATCATGCAAAGTCCAATGAGGTAGGTATTGGTGCAAGCTAGTTTTAGTAAGGGATACATATCACACACAAAATTGTCAATGACATTTGGACCACAGAAAGGAAGTTGATAAATGAAGAGAAATTGAACCAATGAGTGAAGAAAGCCTCCAATCCAGGCTCCCAAGCGTATGAGAACACATGCTCACTGATTCATGATGGTCAAATAATGAAGAGGTTTACAGATGGCCACGTACCTGTCATAGGCCATCACCACCAGGAGAATAACCTCAGTTCCAGCAAACAGATGATCTATAAAAACTTGAGTCATGCAAGCATGGAAGGAAATGGTCTTTTTCTCATGGAGCAGATCCATGATCATTTTGGGAGCAATGGTGGTAGAATAAATAGTATCAATAAATGACAAATAAGCCAGAAAAAAGTACATAGGGGAGTCCAGAGACTGGCTGGACATAATGGTCACCATGATGAGCATGTTACCCATTACGGTCACAATGTAGATAAGCAGGAATGTAACAAATAGAACCTTTTGGCCTTCAGGGTTCTGCGTGAGGCCCAGGAGGATAAACTCAGTCACATTGTTGCTTTTTTCCATGTGTTGTGTATCTGTTGAACTCACTGGGTGTTAGAGCCTGCAAATAGAGGAACAGATGATGAATTTCAAAAGATCCTAAGCTTCATGTCAAGACTGATGGGAAGCTCCTTGGAAGCTGAGTGTTTGGATTCCTGCACATCATTGCCCTACTCATTTCACAAACTTCTTCCTGCCACCGCAGTGATGACTCTTCCAGATTCCCTCTGTTAAACAGATGGATGATGTTTAATCTTTGAAAAGTTCTACCAGAAACACATTCATAGGCAATGATTATACTCATATATTTATGTAAAATCATGCTTATGATATAAAAGATAAAATAATTGGCCAAAGTTTAAATATTTGCTCTCTGACATGACAGTATGATCTCCTAAAGTCTACAAATAATATCAGTTATGGATTCAGACATATTTTTAGTGTTCAGTAAGTCCTCATTAAATGTTATTTAATTCTATGGAATTTCAGAAAGTAATTGAGCAAAAATAAATCTATTAAATTGTTTCTATCCATGAAAGTCCAAATAAAGCAATTTTTCATAAATATGTACATTCATACATGTATACACACATATTAAACAGACTGAGTTAATCTTTATTATAATGAGGGTTACATTAGAAAATAAGTGATGAAATTTAAGATTCATGGACATTATGTAGATATAGTCTCTCCTTTTCATATTTCTTTAAAATTGACTATAACCAATGATGATCAATTTATAATGTAGAAATGAAGAACCATGCTGACAGTGTATAAAGAGTTTGTTTTCATTGGGACATCTTGGAAAAACCATGCCCCACCTTACATTCCTTATTTTGTTTCCAAATGTATGAGTTTCTCAAGTCTTGATGTTGACAATTCTATCCTATCTGATATGATAGAATTTTTAAGAGAAAAAAATTTTTATGATAAACAGGCTAATGCAGTCTTTTTGAAAGTCTTTTGAATATTAAGTAAACATTTCCTGAATCAATTCATTCATATTAGTAGGTTTTGGCTATCTGAGTTAATACTGAATGCACAACATTCACTGTTATTTAAGTTAAATAAACTATTGTTACTTTTCAGATGTAATCTGGTATCAATATGTAATGTTCACAATTTTATATTGGCAGGTTTGTTTTAAATATGGTCCATTACAGGGTTTATATTTCTTAGCAGACATTTGTGAAATTCAGCATATTCTCTTTTATACATCTCGGCAAGTAAAGTTTATACTATGGCATCCAAGGGTTAGTATAAGTGTAGCATAAAGATATAAGCGATAACTGAAACATGTAAATATCAAGCAGCAAAGACTTTAAATGCAATGAAGTAAGTTCTTCAGTTGGTGAGAAATTTGAATGGGGTTGGAGTAGGGCTGAATGAGTTTAGGGTCAAGATATTTCAGATTTCCCAAGTGGCCATTCAGATGGCCTAGAAGATAGTGGCCCATTAATACAAGAATTTTCTTCTAGAATTCTTTATGCCTTTAATTCAAAGGAAATTGACAAAATCAGATTCAATATGTTAGTTTATATTAGTAGAAAAGATGTCTTGCCTAAAAAATAATTCCCAATTCCAAGGCTTCTGATGCTCTGATCTATATAACTAAATATAATGCAATGAGAACTCTGCATCTTCATTTAGAATAAAAAATAAATAACAATGTAGGATGTGTCTGAGCATGCAGAAATAATGTACATCATAAGGTCTCTCCCATTCACCTGCTCAGGACTCATAACACTTTTTATAGCATTGTAAGTGTTCAATAAATAGTTCACTATTAAAAATATTCTCAAGAATGTTCTTATAACTCCAAATATTGAAACTATTGATTTGTTTGAATGGTACAAAATTGTGTTTTTGTCAACATATTTTATGAAAAAGGAAACCTATCTTACAAATATGTTGGGGACTTCACATTTCTTAAGATACTCAACAAATAAATCATTAAGACTTGTCAAAAATATAAAACTATAATAAATATTCCACAATGGAAGTTAAATTAAACTTAAAAGAGCTACACTATGATAACTCAACAATGTTCAGAAAAACAAGCTACATAATGGTGTGGGAAGCGAGCACAGCTGAGTCAGCCAGATGGCGCCCTGGCTGGCTGCCAAACCTTGTGCTGTTTACTCCAACTCTTGGCTGATTGCCAAGGCTCGCGATTCCCGCTTGTTTATCAAAAGTATAAGCCAACACAGGTGCTGCCAGCCTAACGATCTTGCTACATGCCTATGAGCTACACTCTGCCTGGCCGCTGCACGTGTGTAGCCCTGATTGATACCGGCTGGGGGGAGGGCTGTTGGAAACGCTATATAAAGAGCTGAAGTGTGTAATAGAGAGGACCAGCATCATAGTGAGCCAGCATCATAGTGAAGAGAATACGAGAGAATAAAGGAGAAAGAGAAACAGAAGCTTGAACCTCACCTTGGTGTCTGTGTCGTCTTTCCTGGACTCTGCTGGACAGAGTCCCGGCTCGCGACAAATGGTGGCCCGTACGGGGACCCTGATGTTCGCGATAGTTGTAAGTAAAAAATAAAATAATA